CCGTCGCCTGAGGGAATCACCATGTTTTTGGCGTTGATGGTGTATTTATTGCCACCAATTGTCAAATCGAAGCTGGGTGTTGCATTACAGTCGATGAAGTAAACTTGATCATCAGAATCGTACTGAAAATTTCTTTTATTTGGTTCACGTTGTGAGATCGACTTACAGAAAGAAAATTTCAATTTTGTTCCCACTATTACTTACAGTGGCCCCATTAGCCTGGGCAATTGAGCTAGCAATAGAAGTCGGGGCAGCTAGGAGAGAGGTTCCAGTGTCGGATATAGCTTGCCAGCCTTTGTTTGAAGAATAGGTGTTTGATGCAACGCCATCGAGCTGGAACAAAATCAGTATAAAAGAACTATAGAGATTGGTGGATGCTCTGGCATTTACCTTAAATTGGTAGTACGTTGCAGAGGATAAAGGTTGGTAGGCAAGTACAGGTCCGCAATTTGTTGTGTCTAATCCTCCGTAAGTGTAAACTCCACCATAAACATTGTCTTGATCTAAATCCGCATTTACATTGAAGGGACTTCCTACACATTTGAGCTGTATATGCTAATCATGGGTAATGACTAGACTAGCAGTGTGCGGGAAATAAGAATCACGAACCCCCAACATGCTCGAGGAAGACAGTGAAAATGGGCTGATCAACAAGTCCTTGCTCGACGGCATTAAAGAATGGAGGAGTGACACCATCAACAGCAATAGTTGGGAAGGCCAAACCAAGAATACCATCAATAGGTTGCTGGAATTTTATTGTTGCCGAGATGCATGATCAGCATGATTTAGAAATTCCTTGGGCACCTGCTCCAAAATCTACTGCTTCAAGTACATGTGGGTGTATATATGGTTAACTTTATCAAAGGTTTTCATAAATATGAAATTTTTGAGCTCTAATCTGTTCAATGTTAAAAGCTCTTCTACTTTCTTTTGCAAACTATGCAGTTCCTTATTAGAAAAATTAAAGCATTGAAATCATTAGCGGTAAAAGCCAATGTGCGTATCGCACGATTGGAGGCTCTCATTCATTAACGTACAACATAAGAGGCATAAGATTCTTTGCGCTTGTATCCTGTCCTGGTGTAGAATTAGTTTTTAACTTTTAAGGAAGACATTCAATAATAAGAAGAATAGTAGCGAAACGATATACGCAGATTACTCGATGTTATGGCTCATTCAGAACGCACCATTCGTAACCTGTAATTCTAATAATTTCGGAAAATTCCAATAAGGGCCTAGGGGAAGGAGAGGGGGAGGGGGGGAGAGAAAGGAGGAAAACGGGGTTTGGAAACACGAGGGGCTCAGTTCCTTCTTTCGTTTTCGCCTTCGTCTCGTGACTACCTACCAACTAACGTTCACACAACCTATGTGCGCATTGGCGCGGGAAATCTAAATACATACCATCAGTGATTCACTCAAACTCGCTTTCTTAGCAAATAGAAAATTGTCTTCAAAGGGAAGCAAGGAGCTTAAGGATTCTTCTCAAAATTTTTGAAAACCTAAGAAAATAAATAGAACGCCGTACCTTTTGCGACTCAGATTTATGGCGGAGACCTCTCTGAGGTTTTCGATTAACGAATACTTTTCTCATAATTTTACCTCCTAATATCAAACACTTTTTATGCACATCTTGACCCAACTTGCAGAGCAATAACCAGATCAAAGCACTCGTTCCTGTTGTATCGTTGTATCGCTTGTCCTCTTTGCACTCGTTTCTACAGGTGACATAGTGAATATGGTAATCTGATGGATATTTAAGCGCGTATTCGTTTTCGTAAGGTCCAACTAGAGACCTCGTGCCGAGGCCTGTCCGATTTCACGCCGATACTCTGTAGCACTGATAAGTTTCATTGATCACTTAGCACTGAGAGTGAGTTCCAAAATGAGAAGATTACATTGAATGATGCACTACATAAGGGCGCAATAAGATTGGCAACGACTGATTTAGAAAGTGTTAAATTTA